TCTTAGATGAAAAAAAATTCTATATAATGTGTTTTCATATAAAATTTTCATACAAATAATCTTGATATTAGAAAAAGAAATATTTTTTCTTGAAAAAAATAATATTATTATTTCCTTTTTAAAATCTTCCAAATAACAATATAAAACAAAAAGGAAATATTTATAAAATTTACAAAACTATTTAAAAACGAAAAAAATAAGTATATATATAATATGGTTTCATAAAAAAAGAAAGTTTACAAAATAGTAATATTTAACTTAAATATATTTTTAAATAGCATAAATTATACTTTTTAAGTAATTATACTTTATATCTATATCTTCTTAGATGAAAAAAAAAATTTGTATATAATGTGTTTTCATATACAAATTTCATACAAATAATCTTGATATTAGAAAAAGAAATATTTTTTTCTTTTAAAAAATAATTTCAATAATAAAATATATATTTTCAAAGTAATTAGTTTTTGTATATATCTATCTATTTTATTAGATGATTACATAAATAATTAAGTAACATAAACTGATATATGTTTAATTGACAAAAAAAAATTATAATTAGTATATTTATTTGATTATAATATTGATATGTGTTCATAAGTTTCCAAAAATTTATTATTACTTATATATGTAATTTAGAATCAGACACTTTAGTTTTTATTTTTTTCGTTCTAAGCACAAAAAATATTAAAATACATAATCTTACTAACAACCAAAATAAATGTATATAAAACAATTAATAAAAAATTTAAGATATTTAGAATAAAAAAGATTATAGTTGAATTCAGAGAAATAGATAAAATCCAATATATATATATATATATATCCAAATAAATATAATATATCTAAAATTATATATAACTAAAATAATATAATATTATTAATATAAATTCTACGTAAAACTATAAACTAATATAAAAGTTAAAGTCAATATCAATCAATTATTATAATATATTTATTTTATAAATATTTATGTCCGTGCATGAGCACGGGAAAATCACCTAGTATAATATATGTTTAAATACAGTTTAACCAATCATTAAAAACTGGATTGTATAATTGGTAATACAGTATCCAATAAATGTAAAAATTGTAAAAATAATGCAAAAGTAGTTTTTATTTTCAAACAAAATTTGGAATACAACGTATATTACAAAGTAGAAAGAGTATTAAAGATATAATCATAAAACTAATCTTAACAATTTGGTGGCCATATACTATTACCAGTCAAANCAATCATTAAAAACTGGATTGTATAATTGGTAATACAGTATCCAATAAATGTAAAAATTGTAAAAATAATGCAAAAGTAGTTTTTATTTTCAAACAAAATTTGGAATACAACGTATATTACAAAGTAGAAAGAGTATTAAAGATATAATCATAAAACTAATCTTAACAATTTGGTGGCCATATACTATTACCAGTCAAAGATATAGTGTAGCATGTATATTAGTTTAGTCGACATTAAAAGAAGAAGTATTTTTTTTTGAACGAAGAAGTTATACATATTATATTTGATTATATTTGCGAAAACATTAAGCTGCCACAACTATTGCATGTGACGTCTGCCTCGGGGTTGAACGTTTGGAAACATTGTTGTTTGAGTTTGATTGTCGAGGGCTGTCGTAACTCCAGTTATTTTGGCGTGAGGTAGAAGATAGAGAGTGTGCTGGTGTTTTAGCTGCAAAACTGAGCACAACCTGTACCGTCTCGTTTGGAACTATGGTCTGATATAAGGTGTCAAGATCCAGAACAGGAATTTGAGCACATATTTGTGATTGAACTGCACCATGAGATGCATCGTCGAGACCGAACATAAAGTAATGTACTCTGATAATATCATGTTCTTTTGTGTGTGCTTCCACCAGATTGTAATCGCACTCACTGCACTTATATATTTTAACTTTCAAACTTCAGCCACTGAATCCTAAATTTTAGTTAGTCGTCCAAAATAGTCTTCTGGCAACAATTTGTTAAAGAGTACAAAGTTGTTGATAACGGGCTCCATTTTTAAGTGCAAACTGTCGTTTGATATGATCCTATAAATCTTTAGCTTCTTCTTTATGAGAGATGTTGGAACGTAGCTTCGGTTCTATGGTTAATTTGATCCATATAACAAGGAGATGGTTATTTCCCATCCAATCTCTATAATCTGTAGAGTCAGTAGTCGGTTTTGGTATGGTTTCGTCGATAAAAGAAAAATTCTTCCGTGCACTTAAATTAACACGTAGATTTTGTGTCCATTCATCGTAGTTTCGCTTATTGAACAACAACTGAGAGAAAACCGCTCCAGAGTTATCACTAGCAGATAAATCATAAAGAGATATCGTTTGTTGGGTCATTGTAAAAGTTCCTGTCGTGATCGAGTGTGTCAAGGAGATCGAAGAGTCAGTTTGGTTCATGAGTCGAGTTCGAAGAGTCGTAATCAAAGTGCGAGAGATACGAATTCAAAAGATTGGATTGTTCGGAAAAAATGTCGTAAAAATAATTGTTTTTCATGTTGTGCCGACTCTCGTACCATAAGAAGTTATATAATCGAATAAATTTGTGTGTCATTGATTCATGACCTCAAGATCTTTTTATATACAATTATAAGATTCAAAGTCCTATCTAGAAAAGAAGATTACATAATATGGAAATATTTTATTTAAAGTCTATTTTGTTTAGGATATGTTAATATTCGTAATATAGTCCAATCTACAAAATGTTTTGATTTTTATTCCATTTTTTCATATATAGCTCAGTGTGACATTAATAACTAAACCATGTATAAAATATGGGGATCAAACTCGTAAATGGTATTTGACAAAGAAGTTCGTATAATGACACCATAAGAGCATTAATGATTACAAGTTTTGATCCGTATTCTTTTATTTAAATGTAGATAAGATAAGGAGTGTAGTGGTGTCTACTCTAGGACCGACCATGGTCTACGCATGAATTATAATCTATAATTTTCAAAATGCAAAAATGTCAATGATTTGTGTCCATAGCTCGATGTGAAAAATAAAGTAGGTTAGGGCGTGTAGCACTGAATAATTGGTTTTCGTTCACTGAACCATGAGTAATCCATTAAATTGAATTCTTTTTTCTTTAACATGAAAAGCCGCAAGAACCCAAATCAAAAAGAGTTTTTTTTTTCACTTGTAAACAATGAATCAATTCCTCTCTAGTAGTACTGTAATCTACGACGTAACTTCAAACTGAAAAAAAAAACAAAAGTATGGTTTTTTGGTGGGTTGGAAAAAAAAAGTTTGAAGTTTGAGGTATATAAAAGCTATAGTGATATTTGAGATGAATTATGCGAATTTGTTGAAAATAGATGCGGATTTCCATTGATTGGTTTATTTCAAGTCGATTTAAACTATTTTCTTATTTTTTAAACTTTATTTTCTTTAATGATCCTTTTGGAGGTTTTATTATCTTTGTTTAATTTTATATGTGGTAGTTGTCTTGCTAAAAGACACAAATATCAGACTTCACATTTTTTTTTATAAGTTAAATTTAGTTGGTATCAAAAAAGTTTACAGAATCATACCATCAATCTTAGTTTACGAAGTTAGACAAAGAAAAATAATTTTGGCAAAAAAACAAAAAAGACAAAGAAAAAGATACTAGCTAAACTTAGCTACGAATTTGCTACGAATGTACCGTAATTATTTTGGTACATTCGTAAAAAAATATTCACTAGTAAAAAAAAATAAAATAGCTACGATACATTCGTAGCTATATGGAGAGCTTACTATGAATAGCTACGTAAATTCGTAACAGACTCTCCATATAGCTACGAATTTGCTACGAATGTACCGTAATTATTTTGGTTTTTTTACTAGTTATTATATATTTAAAATTAACGGTTTGTTTTAAAGATCAGTCAGATTAAAGCATGGACGTTTTTGAAAAGAAAAATGTTGATCAACAGGTTTAAGATATTTTATGCATGTGAGTGCAAATTTTGTTAGTCTTTCTCTACAACACACACATCAAAACATACTTTATCTAGAATAAAATCAGATTTGACAAATGTTGTCACAAAAGTAGACACAATAAATTACAGATTCTGATCCATAAATACAATTCAATTATGAAAACTGCATAATGAAACAAAACAGTGAAAAATCAATTACTAATAGGGAAAAAGAGTGCATGCACTAAAGCGAATTCAAACACGTCTTCTCTCGAGTAACGTACAAAGTTACAAAATTACAAAATTACAATCTCTCTTTCTGCAAGCTTTTCACACAACTGTGATATTAATATGTGGCCCACCTTTCTTTATCTAAACAAAAAGAAAGATTATGGAAAAAGGAGAACTTTATAAAACAGTAATAATACTTAAAAAAAAAGAACAGACTGCTCTGTGTTTCTGTGTAAGTGTAATTTTATAATCAGACAGAAAATGACAAAATGGTACCGCCAGAAGAGTTTTATTTTTTCCTTGCCTTTTTTCTTTTCATGAGCGGTAGGGTTCAGATTATTATACTTTCTGAATTTATAATAAGCTTCAAATATCACACAAAGAGAAAAGATAGAGTTCTCTCGTCCACAATCTTTCTCTCTCCCTCCTTCGTCTTCTAGGTATTTTGGATTTTCTTCCTTCTTGGCTCTTGTTGGGTTGTTCATGTTTTTGTTTGGAGTGTTGTTAGTAAAAAGGAAACCTTAAAGGTCTTCTTGTTCATGTCTGAAACGAACAAGATCAACAAGTATGATATATTTGCTTATGTTCAGCTTTCAAACAAACTCTCTCTTCACATCTCTTGGATTGTGGGTCTTACTATTATTGTATTAGATCTTCCCATAAGTAAAAGGTTGTCACTTGGGCTGTAATTAGACAAAATATTATAGAATTTTATATGGGTTTCACACTTTCACTAATTTCATCGATGTTTCTGCTTGAATCTTCTCTTTGCTAGTTTTTCCACTATTCTGATAGATCTGAGAAAAGTTTGTATTTTTTTTTTGTTCTTCTTAAGGTCTTATTATTCAAATGATGATGAACCAAGATATGTTATTTCATCATCATCAACAACAAGTGGAGGAAAACATGTCGAATCTAGCATCAGCTTCAGGAGACCAAGCAAGTGTGTCTTCAGGAAACAGAACTGAAACTAGTGGCTCCACCTTTCACTACACCATTAATCCAAATCAGCAGCAACACGAAGAGTTTTGTGCTCCACAATCATCTCAAAAGAAAAAGAGAAACCAACCTGGCAATCCAGGTAAGGAATTTTTAGTTAATTTAAAAACGAATCTTTCTTCATATTTTTAGTTTTGCTTCTAACTATTTGGTTACTTAATAAGTCATATTTCAATGGTGTTTTTTTCTTGACTTTCAATGGATGTTTTTTTCTTGACTTTTTTGAGCAGACCCTGACGCAGAAGTGATGGCTTTATCACCAAAAACACTAACGGCAACAAACAGATTCATATGCGAGATCTGTAACAAAGGGTTTCAGAGAGACCAAAATTTGCAGCTTCATAAGAGAGGACACAATCTACCATGGAAGCTTAAACAAAGACCACCTAAAGATGTGATAAGGAAGAAAGTGTATGTCTGTCCTGAGCCAAGCTGTGTCCATCATCATCCATCAAGAGCTCTAGGAGACTTAACTGGAATCAAGAAGCATTTCTTCAGAAAACATGGCGAGAAAAAATGGAAATGTGAGAAGTGTTCGAAGAAGTATGCGGTGCAATCAGATTGGAAGGCTCATACTAAGACTTGTGGCACTAAAGAATACAAATGCGACTGTGGAACTCTCTTTTCTAGGTAAAAACCCATCACCACACTAAATTTATATATTTAGAATGTGTTTCTCTCTTCTTTTTTTTATCAAAGATGCATTTGATGAACCTTGTGCATTCATACTTAGGTCTAAGGTTACAATTAGGAAGTAAACAAGAGTGATGGTTGTAAAACTATACATGTGTGGTGTAGTGAAAATGAGTGAACACAGTACATGGTACCTACCATCTGTTGGTATCATGAGTAGTAACATTTAATTTTGTGAATAGGACATTAATCAAGTAGTTCAAAGAATCTCCATTTAAACAACTATTTATTATCGTGGTACTTTTTTTTTTAAATTTAACTTGTAATATTCAAGAAAATTATTTATTTAATAATATAAATTCTTTATACGGTTTACATTTATTGCATATTGATCTATCGTCTTATTTATTCACACGTGACACCCCCACAAATAATGCAACACATGTTTTAGATGGACCTACAAACTTCAAAAAGTTGTATTGTTTAATTGATTAATTTGAAAGTGATGATTTGTAAAATATTTGCAGGAGGGATAGTTTCATAACTCATAGAGCATTTTGTGATGCATTAGCAGAAGAGAGAGCAAGAGGCATACCAAACCTTATCCTTATCCAATCATCTCCATCTTCTCCACCTCATCATCATCACCAAACTCAACAAAACATCAGTTTCTCATCTTCCTCACAAAACATCATCAGCAACAATGATCGTCATGGTCATAAAATTTCTATGAAGCAAGAAGAACCACATCATCACTTACCAAACATCCCTCCTTGGCTTGCCTCATTAAACCCTAACCCTAATGGCAATAATGGTAATTACTTCCCTCTAGCTTCTTCTTCTTCTGCAACGGCAACCACCAGAAGTTCCAACTTTCACCACTCATCTCCGGCTATGTCAGCCACAGCTTTGCTCCAGAAAGCAGCACAAATGGGTCCCAGAAAGTCAACTACTAATCCAGAGGAAGAAGAAAGGTTAAGCTCCTATAATAACCTGATCACGACTACAATGGCCGCGGCAATGATGACGCCACCATCAGAGCCTGGATTCGGATTTCAAGACTACAATATGATGAATCATCATGCTCATCATCACGGCGTTGGAGAAGCTTTCAGCAGAGAAGACGAGAAGAACGATGTCGTCGCAGACGATGGTGGAGGAGAGACGAGGGATTTCTTGGGGATAAGATCGTTAATGTCTCATAACGGGATTCTAAGTTTTGCTAATAATCTTGGCAACTGTGTCAACACTTTTGCGTCAGAGCAACAAGAGCAATATAACCATCAAGATTAGCTACTAGCATATGCATAGGGATTTTTTTATATTAATTAATTAGTTTAACATATATGTAAGTGTTATCGAAAAGATATCAAAAAGGAAACACTATATTTATTACTTCTTTTAATGGTCGTTCGTTAATCAGTAAGTGTGTATGATTTTACATTTTCGCTTACACATGTTAAACATAAGATGTCTCTTTGGTATATGGTATGCATGATTAAAGAAATGGTCACCGTGAAATCAAGTTATGTATTTATTATATATATGTACTCCCTCCGTTCCATAATATAAGATGTTCTAGAGAAAATTGATGTTTCAAAATATAAGATGTTTTGATATTTTTAAGGTACTTTAACTTTATAGAGAACCGGTTGACCAATAGTATTTTAGTTTATTATTTATGATTGGTTAATTTATTTTAAATTTATACTATCAATGATGTTATCTTTTAAAAAATTAAATTTCTTAATTCTTGTGCTTTGGATAAAACTTCCTATATTGTGGAACGGAGGGAGTAAGTGTTATCGAAAAGATACATAACTACATGAAATCAAGTTATGTATCTAATTATATAAAGTAGAGTTCTCCCTCATTTGGTACTGCCACGTCATTAAATAGTGTGACCAGAACGTGACACGTGTACTCCCAAAACGAAACACTACGTTTCTTCACAATGTAAATGGGCCCTTACTCGGTTCTTTCTTAATAACTTGATTTAGTGAAAACTGCAATAAAAGCCCGAAAGATAGAGCGTGATATTTCTTCGTCCATTGCGATACAGAAACGAATCACGATATAGATAATTAGGGCTCATCTTCTTCTTCGATAACTCACGATCTGCAACACCAATGGAGTATCAGGTGGTCAAGCGATACCATTGGCCGTGAATAATCTCTATGAAAAGCTTATATTGTGTCGTTTCATGTTTGGTTCTAATCAAACGCAACGTTACGATTCCACATTCAATGCTACTTTCACATCTGTTAGACGGTGTATCTAGACTTATAAAAAGGTCAGTCTTCATCTCTTCAAAGTCATCCTCTCAATTCGTGATATCACCAAAGAAAACTTATTGTTAGTATTTGAAGGTTGGCTGCTGTCCTTCCACCTGTGGATATGCTCAGACTCTGGGAAGAACATCAAACTTGGTGTTGCAAATTCATGGGGTGGTCATACTGCTCCAAGATGCCACAGTTATTTTGTTCTTTAGATTCATAATCATTTATTGGTAATCTATTCCGGCATAAAAATTCATGATTTTAAAACTTTTGAGTTATATCTTCCTTGAATATCTTGTGAATCTTATTTTCTGAAGCTGTTTATTGATTATAATTTTTTTACAAGTTTTCCTGAAGCTGTTGACTCCCAAGTTTCGATCATTGCTGACGATACTGCTGAAGGTCTATTCGTTGGTTTTGATGGGGGAAAGAGGAAACTATATACCATCAGATCCTATGAAGCTGGACATCTATTGGTAAGTGACTATTCTATTGCATATCATTATCCACCAGTTTGCTCCGCTTATGCTCTAATACACTTGGTCACTTAGGGCTTGAGATGGTTTGAACCCGGAGGACAAGGTAGGCAAAACGCACACCTTCAGATCAGGGTAAGCAAGTACAATTTCACTGCCAATCATTAGACGTTCACAATCTCACATACTTTAACGAACGTGACAATCTGCCACTCTCTGACTTTGTTGCTAATGTAAGCTTGGTCCATATTCATTCCTCTTCCTTCCTTAGTATGAAAATAGTTATAAATTATTCGGTTTGATCACGATGGCAACTAGGACAATGGAGATGATATATCTGGTGGAAACTCAGTCTCTACTAACTTGGCCGTTGGTAGTAGCCTGTAACGATGCAGCGACTAGAGGAGAAGCTCCAAGTGTTCATGGCCAAAAAACCACGTATGACATAGATTAAGATACTGAGAGCTCTGGACCCAATATTTCTTATTTGAGTATGCTCTGTTTTGTTCAGAATATCTTCAAACAATCTGTTTAGGTTTAAATAAGTTGATATTTTTATCAATTCATTAAATCACTAAAGGTCCAGTCTTTTTCTTTGTAAATGGCATTATTAAAAGGTCCAGTTAATATACACATCATTTAAGTACAACTCAAAAGCAAAAGGATTAACTATAAAATAACTTAAAAGTATTCAAAAACATGTCTGACCAATCTTAATAATATGTTAACGTTTAAATTAATAAAAAATTATCATGTCATATAATCACTAGGTTCAGTTTATATAGGCACCACTTAAATTCAGCTTCAACAAAAAGGGTCCATCAAAGAATAACTTAATAGCATATGAATAACGTGTACAAGTAATTGATTAACCATATTGCTATCTTCTCTGTCCAAAAATCATTCTACAGGAATATATACGATTCATATCAATACGATTTTGATAATTCCCAGACATTCTATACAATATACCTCAGTACAAGACATCTATTGACTATTGTACGTTAAAAGTCAAATAATGCAGAGTTGTGCTTCGATTCATCTGAAACATAGACTATCTATGTGAGCATATATAAGACGTTCGACTAGATCCTGCTTGGTTTCTGTTGGAAACAAGTGATGGTTCATAATCTTAACCACGTACTATAAATCTATTATCTGGACAAGAACCAGCCTTATCAAATGATAGTTAGTACCAGCTCCATATTAATTCAATAAGTCGCCCCATCTATTGTTGTATAATCACAACCGTTGTTTTCAAAAGATGGTTTAAATCACATGGATTATCTTATCAAAATTACAGTGTAGAAACATCAATAGCGTAACACACAAGTTCTTAACTCTTCACTTACCCTTTAAGTTTAACAATAACTGTCAGAGTTATTCCCTTCAGATAACCCTTCATCTAAACACATTTCCCCATTGCAGTCCCTACGAATTCTCTCAGTCTCAACCTAGCTCAAAAGGTGAAACAATCACACAACAATTTTTCGTTATGGTCAAGAAAACAGCAAAGGGAAAAGCTAAATCTGGCGCCGTAGAGCCGAGCAATAGCAATTGTAGTCTTCAGATCATAAACACGACTCCCAAAACAAAACCAACGTAACTGATGACTTCAGCTCAGGTATGTACATCTTAATTATCTTACAAATAAATAACCAGTTAGACTAATACTTCCAAAAAATATTGTAACTGTACTACTTCATCTAAATCAGACAACCAGTGTCCACGCAGGGCCGGCTCCACCTTTTTCGAGGCCCCGGGGCAAAACCAAAATATTAAATTTTAATATTTATTTTCTTTAAAAATTTAAATATTTTTAAACTTTTAACGTACAATTCATCTTTATAAATTTTGAGATAAAAAATACATTATATACACATAAAATATTTTAGGGCCCCTTTTCAATGATTTTTTTTTTAATTTTCTATAAAAATATAAAAAATATTGGACCGCATAATTAGTAAGATACGGGGGACACGGATTTGGACCCGGGGCAGTCACACCGTTTGTCTCCCTCTATGCCGGCCCTGCATCCATGGTTAGATGCGCAATATCAGTCTCATAAATCACTTGAACTCTTCAGTCATCACTCCACAATAATAAGAAAGATATCTGCGCGTAGCGCGGACCAGACCTAGTTTATTATATACATGTTCAGCGCGTACCGGTGCCGGAAACATCCCTTTTCTCTCTGTCATCTCGTTTTACCTTTTGCTTCTCCGCTGTGCTGTTCACTCTCTTCGCTTTGCTTGTTGTTCTGGATCTGGAGGCTCACCCGCTCTGTCTTCATCTCGAGAGAAGCTCCGGCTCGGGTACAGTTCATCTAGGTGGTGGACCATCGGCGCGAGGGTGGTGTTGTTTCAGCCGGAGAAGTCGGATTTTAGGGTTTCACAGGGGTCCTTTAAGCTCACTGTAGGGGCGGTTGCGCGTGGAGGAGGTCGTTGAACTCACCCTTAGATTTTGAGTTGCAATTTTTGTGTTGTCTCAGTTATTTTGATGGTGAGGAGCTTGTAGTTGCGGACTGGTTGCCTTCTTCTTGGTGTCAGGGAAAGGCCCGATCTGACTTCTCTCGCTTTGAGAGCTTTGGAGGTTTCATTACTCAAAGGCATTCTTAGCTCGTGCTGCTGGCATGTGTCGGAGCTCGTGGTGTTGGTCCGTGAAGTGTTGCAGTGGCGCAGTGTCGGAGCTTGTCGTCTATGGCTTCTCCGAGGCGATGTTGTGTCCTTCCTCTCAATCCTTCTTCCTCTTCCCGTCAAATTGTTGCGGTCAACTGTTTGAGCTGTGTCGACCTTGCTCTCGGTTGCTTTGCTCCTAAATTTGGATTGTAATGTTTGTTCCGTGTCACCGGTTCAGCTATTGGCATCTTAAGCTTACCTTCTCCCGGTTCTCAGTGGAGGCGATTGACGAGGATTTGGAAATCTCACGTGGTCTGTGCAGTTTCTAAGTTCTTGGTGACGCAGTCGGCTTTGCGACACTTCCCAGTGCTGTGAGCTTTGTGTTCACGGTAGTGTTGCATTCTAACGTTTTTTGCAGGTCTTGGAGTGATAATCAGGTTTCAATTTGTAGCGGCTGTCCCGTGCCCGCCTTTTTTCTTTCTCCGCTCTTAGATTAGAGGCTTCATCGCTCTCTCCTTTAATGAGTGGTCGGCGTTTTAGGAGGTTATAAAGTGTTTGGAGCGGTTTTCAGTTGGTATGTGCTCTAACATTTCTTCTATTTCGTATGTGCGTTTATTGTTAGTTACGGTTATGAACCCCGCGAGGAGATCATCAAGAACTAGCTACTCCGGAGACGACATAGTAAGTCCCGGCATCCGAAGCAACGAGGAGATCCTCACCTTACTGTGGTCATCGTCGAAGGTAGAGAACAGTAATTGATTCCTAAGAATTTTAAAATCGGGCTAGCGGAACGTACCGGATTTAGTGGGTGAGCGAAGCTATTTCTGTAATACATTGACTTGGAAAATTTTGTTTGAATCGTACTTGTAACCGAATCTAAAATTTCTGTTTTCGAATTGAAATAATATATTTATTAAAAAAAAAAAGTTATGTATTTATTTGTAACGCACTTAAAAGTAAAGTCCGCACGTGCCAAAGAGTCACGTTAGAGTTTTATTTTCGTTCAACACTAGTAACCCCCCACAAAAATTTATACATTGCTCATAATACCGTCCCGATCGAAACTTTCTCATTATATTATGTTAACTGAATTAAATGAAATATATATTCACATAGACAAATAGTATAACTTATCTTATTGAAAAATCGATCTACAAATATTATTTAGGTTTCTTCAATTAATTTTCTATTTGATTTATCACGTAACCAAATTGTCAAACTTTTTTACCAAAAAAAAGTTGTCAACTCAAAACAAATTAGAATTCATAAATTGGTTTATATTTGTATATACTTGTATAAGTTCATCGACTCCAGACTAAAACTTCATCAACTAAAGTGATTGTTTCTTTTTCTCTACAAAAACAATAATCACTTTAGAACCCTAGCACTTTATAAAGAACTGAATAACACGTCAACACACACATACTTTAAATCATTTATACTAAATGATTTACACTCACTTGAATCTATTATACTAAATAGCATAATTGAGGGACACGCTATAAATAAAAATCACTACTACACATAAAAAGCTAAGTTTTTCATCAAGAGGTTTAATCATTGTAACAATAAACATAAGTTTATTGCATAATAGTAAACTATAACAAAACCAAATGATCAATTCAAAAAGTAATAAATTTAATGTTAGTTTTTAAGCCCCAAAAAAAGAAAAAAAAACACTTGTTGGAGGTCGTTTATGTTGTCCTCTTCAATACCAACTTTATATATTTCAAAAAGAAAACTATGTATTTCAGTGATAGAATGAGCCCCGATGCCCATCATTAGTTGGGCTTGAACTTTTGTGTTTTGAGCCCACTATTATGTTAATAATCTCGCTATGACGAGGAGTTTGAAAAGGCAACAAGAAACTAACGTCTGTTACAATCGTCGTTTGCAATCGCTTCCGCCGCAGCAGACGGTGGTTCATACTCCGAAATCGATGATGCATACACCGCAGCAGCAACGAAAACAGTCATCAACTTCTCATTTCCATCTCTACCCTGTAAGAAACAGATAAAATTGATTTCATCGGAATCCTTTTGGGTCTAATGTATGTGGTATTCGCAGTTGGTGGAGAAATTTACAGATGCAATTGAAACTGGAACACGAGATCAGAACTCTGATGCTCTGGTTTGTTTGTTTGTCCCTACAAAGACCCAGTCTTTAGGTGAGTTTCTAGGGTTCTTGGATGTTGAATTTGTTTGTGTGGGATATGCAGGTGACTGAATTGAACATCCTTTTTGACAACTCTCAGCAGCTGTTGAATTCTATTTCAGAATCTAAAACCATGGTAAGAAGTTGTGATTCTCTGTTGTGGTCTGATATAACGCTTTGGCTTTTGCTTATGGAAATTTTGTACTGCTGTTTGTGTNTTTCTAGGGTTCTTGGATGTTGAATTTGTTTGTGTGGGATATGCAGGTGACTGAATTGAACATCCTTTTTGACAACTCTCAGCAGCTGTTGAATTCTATTTCAGAATCTAAAACCATGGTAAGAAGTTGTGATTCTCTGTTGTGGTCTGATATAACGCTTTGGCTTTTGCTTATGGAAATTTTGTACTGCTGTTTGTGTGTTTAATAGACTGTTGATGGAGAAAAGAGGAATCTGGAGGAAAGTGAACAACTGCTTCAACAAAGAAGGTAAGCAGCTAAAATTGTCCCAACATATCATTTTTTTATTTGATGAGAATCTTTCTCTTACACTATTCTTGTTGAAATCTTCGTTAGAGACTTGATGGTGGAATTTAGGAAATTTGTTGAAGACCTTGTCAAGATCGAGTCTTATTAGTTCCATATTTCTCCCAATACCCAAGAATTGTTACTGTGTTTCTTAACATCAACACCATCTTCATTATTTACTCTTACCATAAATTTGGAGTGATCATGTCAGTTTCTTAACATCAACACCATCTTTTTTTCTTTTTTTTTTCTTGAATCTATATTATTAAAATAGAATCCTTTTTAGGATTATACTCTTGATTTTTGAGAAAATTACAAAATCATAGCATTAACTCTTATTAATTTAAATAAAATAACCAAATATTCCATAGATACTTTACATATTTTTATCGAAGGTAATAATTCTGATTTTATGTCAATTATACTTGCCATTTAATTTAAATATATATTTTGTAAATAATAATATTAAAAGATCGAATATAGGTATATACATGAAGTTTTTTAAAATATTATTTATCATTAATTTCTACATAATGTTAATATGGCAATTGTGAGTGTTCAAAAATAATTTGAAACTTAACTTAAAATTAAATTTTATATCTAAAATAAACAAAAATATAAATATAGCATAGGTTATTAAAAACAAAAGAAAACTAATATTGTCATATCAATTTTTTTTGTCTTTTTCTATTACCATTGTTTCGTTTTCTTTAAATGACATAGTAAAAATTTCATCAAATTCTAAGGAATTAAAAAAATCATTTTTTATACTATCAAAAACAGGAGTTATTTAATCAAAAATTTCAAAAGTATTATTAGATTTTGTTTTGGGTTTTTAGTTGATCAACTAATATCAGATAGCAATTTTTTTAATTTTTTACCGGATTGCATCGAACTTTTAGTTAAACAAAAATTCAATAAATTCAGACTGGATTATACACAATGTCTAGATCTATCACTTCAAACATATATCTGAATCATCATAAACACACTACATACTTAAAAAAAAAATTTGAAATACTAATAAAACAATTTTTAAATTCTTTGTTTTTAATAGAAGAAAATATTCCCTATATTTATAGGAACTAATACTTTCTATATTTTTCCAAATGTAATAATTCTTATTTTTATGCCAATTATACTTTCCATAAATTAATTTTCTACATAATATTAATAGGGAAATTTTGAGTGTTCAAAAATAATTTAAAAATTACCATAAATTTTACATTTAGATCTAAAATAAATAAAAATAGAAACATAGCATAGGTTATTAAAAACCAAAAGAAACTAATATTTTCATATCAATTATTTTTGTCTTTTTCTATTACCATTATTTCGTTCTCCAAATGACATAATAAACTTTCATCAATCTAAGGAATTAAAAAAATCAATTTTATATAATATTAAAAACAAGAGTTATTTAATAAAAATTTCAAAAGTAATATTAGATTTTTTTGAGTTTTTAGTGGATCAACCAATATCATATCACAATTTTTTTAACTTTTTACCGGATTGCATCGAACTTTTAGTTAAACAGAAAACTTATTTTCATTAAATTCAAATTGGATTACACACAAGTGTCTAGATCTATCGCTTCAACCATATATCTGAATCAAATATAAACACACTACTTAAAAATCAAACATTATAATTAAACAATTTTTTGAAATACTAATAAAATAATTTTTAATTTCTTTGTTTCTAATAAAAGTTATAGATTTAATCAAATTTTACTAAACGGAAAAATACCTGCTTTTAAAGCGCATGCCAAAATCTAGTTAAATATTAAATTGAATTCAAAAAGAAAAAACTTTTTTACAACATATATGTCCTTTCTAAATGTTATCTACAAATAGATTTTTGTAATAAAACCGAAACTACTTCCTCCATTAGCTTAACCTGGTAGAGAACCAAAATTGTAAGTCACCATCAAGTCTTCTATGCTTCCCCGTTCGAATAACTTAGAATTTGTTTCTCACGTCCTTGTCAATCAAGCTTTCAAATAGAGCAGCTGGAGAGGCTTTCTCGCCATGCCTTCTTCTTCTATTCCTCTCCCGCCAGATACTATGGACATCAACACCATCTTCATTATTTACTCATGTTGGAAATAAACTTGAAGTTTAAGATAGAAATAAACTAGGATATTCCTATTCGAGATATGTTTAGGAATTAAAGGATTTGTTTTTAATTAAGTTAGAAGTTTATCTATAATCTCTATATAAGAAGATGGTGAGTTGTGCCATGAACTTGTGAGCTTAGAGACTATTGTGAGAGAGCTTAAGTTTTTGAGTGATTTTTCTTGAGCTGATAAAAGTGTGTTTACAATCTTTGAGTTCATAATCGATACTTTGAGATAATAATTGGTATCAAGAGCATAAAGATCTGAAATCAATATCTGCAAAGTAAGATGGGAGATATAACAACCGTAACTGCGAAACCTAAAGATGGATTTTCTTCGATAACATGTCCAATGTTAACTACAACGAATTACACATTCTGGGCTATTCGAATGAAGATGCTTCTCAAGGTAAATCAAGTTTGGGAGGTTGTTGAGGAAGAAACAAACGAGATCTGTAAGAACGACATGGCAGTAGCGCTTATATGTCAATCTGTTCCAGAGGCAACAGATGGGAGAACTAGACACATCAAAGAAGATATGGGATGTTATAAAGACACGAAATATCGGAGCAGACATAGTTCGAGAAGCTCGACTACAAACTTTATCAACAGAGTTCGATCGCTTGAAGATGAAGGAAACTGAGTCTATCATGACTTTGTTGGCAAGATATCTGAAATTTCGTCTAAATCTGCATCTCTAGTAATAATCATTGAAGAGTCTAAACTAGTGAAGAAATTTCTTAAGGCTCTACCCCGGAAGAAATATATACATATGGTGGCATCACTTGAGCAGTTTTTAGACCTCAATGTTACAGTTTCTTAAAGGATTTGTTTTTAATTAAGTTAGAAGTTTATCTATAATCTCTATATAAGAAGATGGTGAGTTGTGTCATGAACTTGTGAGTTTAGAGACTATTGTGAGAGAGCTTAAGTTTTTGAGTGATTTTTCTTGAGCTAATAAAAGTGTGTTTACAATCTTTGAGTCCATAATCGATACTTTGAGATAATAACTCATACCATAAACATGTAAACATGCCTTGACCCATTCATGTTCTTGACTGTTTAATAAGTTGGGCTTTGTTAATCTGAAAAGTCGAAAACAGAGTGGGTTTTTATTTAATTTTAGCTAAGATAAAGACGCAACCAAATGAGAGTGCGAGGGAATCGATGCCGTGTCCGACTTTATCTATTTCTGCATTAAACTATTTTTATTTATATGAAATTTTATTTAGAACAAACAGAAGTCTATTTTGTAGCTCTTCCTCTCGTATCTCTTCTTCGCCCAGACAAAGAAGCTACCTTTATCCGAAGAATTTAGGGTTTTCATTTCTCTCCCTTGAATCAATATCATCAAAACCCTAATATCAATATCAGGTGAATCATCTATATCTGTTTCTCCCTGCTGAATTTATTCGTTCCTGATTCTTTTCCAATTCTCAGTTCTCAAGTTTTTTGACCATCATCGATTAGAGTTTAAAATGATTTCATCGTCTGATCTGGAGATAAGGTGTTAAAATACTTCATGTATTTACTTCATCTCAAAATGATCGCGCTTGTTTTTTGTTTTTGTTTTTTTTTTCCTGAAAAAGTTGACTCTAGACATCGATTTCAGATCCGACGAATATGGTTTTATAGATTCAATTTATACGCAATTGAGACTAATATTTTTTCCGAAAATAGTTTCGTTATTACTTGTCTTTTAAATAGCCTCGTTTGATCATCTCAAAACAGCTGTTTCCACGATGATTACGAGTAGTCACTTTCATGTTATGTAATGAAATCACTTGTCTTAACTCTGAGTTATCATGTCCTTTGCCCAGGCTTCAGCATACTTGTTATTTTCTCCCTCAGGTTCATGTCAGATCTTGAAGTTCAGGTCCCCACTGCCTTTGGTAAACTCTTATCTTTAATTAATCACCTTTGCTTGTCCAAAAAAATAAAAATTAAACTCCTTTGCTTGTTGAAATTGTTGTGAATCTTTCTATCTTGTTAAATTGATTGGGAAGCTAACTTTATTTAATCCTTTTTGGTGTGATGATGTTATAAGATCCGTTTGCTGATGCAAATGCTGAGGACGCTGGTGCTGGAGCAGGAACAAAGGAATACGTGCACATACGTGTTCAGCAGCGTAACGGTAGAAAAAGCCTGACCACTGTCCAGGGCCTTAAGAAAGAGTATAGCTATACCAAGATCCTTAAAGACCTCAAGAAAGAGTTCTGCTGCAATGGCACTGTCGTCCAGGACTCTGAACTAGGACAGGTCTGTTTTGAAAGCTGAACCCTTTTACTTTATTATTTGATGGTTGACTTGAGATTCTTCTATAAATTGTAGGTTATTCAGCTCCAAGGTGATCAGAGGAAGAACGTCTCTACTTTCCTTGTTCAGGTAAATTAACTACCAAGCACCGATTCTACTTTTGTTTTGAAGCTGATTTATAGCAAAAGATCGTGTATTTATCTTAAGAATGTTCAACCACAGGCTGGTCTTGTGAAGAAGGATAACATCAAGATCCATGGTTTTTGAGCAAATTCTACATGCTTGTTGTTGTTCATCTTTGCACAGCAACTTGAGTTTGCGGAAACAATCAGCCCTTCCGAAAGGCAGTATTATAAACAATCACTTATGTAATATTAATACTTTTTTAATGTATACATGTATTTGCTTATGAGTATAAACACAAATGTATGAATTTCTCATTTGCGTTTGTAGTGTGAGATTATCAGTAAAACTTGCTTTGTGAATATAGTGATCTTACTTACATGACAAGCAAATAGAAAGGCTCAAAACCGAGCATTAAACCGTTTTTTCGGTTTACTGATTTGTCAGGCAGGCGTGGTCAGTACGGAAGATTCGAGTCATATAGCAAGTAGTGTGTATATTCCATTAGAGAGAACTTATAAATAAACAAAAAACAGAATATGTTCGACATGAGTCGTGTTGATTTGTTGTAGAATCAAAGAAAATATTATCATACAAATTCAGTGCTGATTGCAATGAATCTAAAAGATGTCAAAATTGATAAACAAATCAGGCATTAATCTATCGGTTTTTAGTTAATAATAATTAATGAAGAAAGTGGCTAATTTCTTTTAACTAAAAATAGGGAATCTGAATTAGAGAAAGAGAGAAGGGAAACGAAAACTGTTGTGTTTGTTTTGAGTTGCAGAGTGTGTGAGAGAGTGAAGGAGAAGAAGAGAGAGAGATAATAACCTCTCTTCTGTCTTTAGAGAAAAAAAAAGAGAGAGAGAGAAAAGGCAGCCTCTCCTTCTTCTCCTTCCATTATTTCGATCTTTCTTTCGCACCGTTCCTTCCTTCCTCTTTTTACATCATCGACGATTCTTGCCTAATTTTCTTTTCCTTCATTTTTGTTGTAAAGCATTTCTTCGTGTTGATCATGAACAAGCCTCCCACTTTCAGGTAAATCTTTCTACGGCAGTTTCTCTGATCTCTCTCTCTCACGTGACCTTCACGCTATTTCCTCATATATCTTGTGTAGCAAGCTTTTTGGGGGTATATGATTAATGAATTCCTTACTGATTCTCATCGAATCGCAAAATCAAACAACCCTAATTTTAGAATCTCTACCATCGAATTAGCAATGTCGCTTAATGATCAAATACATATAATTTTTCTTAATCAATTTGGGAGAGAATGACCTAATCCTATATTTTGTTCATTTTTTTTGGCAGTATCGAAGGTATCTTCATCAACAGTTAACGTTGCTTTTCTTCTCCACACATAAAAAAGGGAAATGGCTCGCCGTAGTAGAATAAGGTCAAGAATCAAGAAAAGCCATTTCTACACTTTCAAATGCCTCAGACCCAAAACTCTCGACGACCAAGGGCCCCATTTCATCAACGGACCAGGCTACACACGCATCGTCCACTGCAACCAGCCACATCTCCACCTCGCCACCAAGCTCCTTAGATACCGCTCCAACTACGTATCCACCACTCGTTACAACATGCTCACTTTCCTCCCCAAGTGCCTCTACGAGCAATTCCACCGCGTCGCCAACTTCTACTTCCTCGTCGCCGCCATCCTCTCCGTCTTCCCTCTCTCCCCTTTCAACAAATGGAGCATGATCGCTCCTCTTGTCTTCGTTGTTGGGCTTAGTATGGGTAAAGAGGCCCTGGAGGATTGGAGACGGTTTATGCAGGACGTTGGGGTGAACTCTAGGAAAGCTAGTGTTCATAAAGGGAGTGGTGAGTTTGGTCGTAGGACTTGGAAGAAGATACGTGTTGGGGATGTGGTCAGAGTTGACAAGGATGAGTTTTTCCCTGCTGATTTGTTCCTTCTCTCGTCTAGCTACGAGGATGGGATTTGTTATGTTGAGACTATGAATTTAGATGGGGAGACTAATTTGAAAGTTAAGAGATGTCTGGATGTTACTTTGGGTTTGGAGAGGGATGAGTCTTTTCAGAGTTTCTCTGGAACGATAAAATGTGAAGATCCAAATCCGAACTTGTATACTTTTGTTGGTAATCTTGAGTGTGATGGACAGGTTTATCCACTTGATCCTAACCAGATTCTTTTGAGAGATTCTAAGCTGAGGAACACGAGTTATATCTATGGGGTTGTTGTCTTTACGGGTCATGACACAAAGGTTATGCAGAACTCGACAAAGTCTCCTTCAAAGAGAAGCAGCATTGAGAAGACAATGGACTATATTATATACACTCTATTTGGTCTTCTTTTGTTTGTCTCCTTCATCAGCTCTCTTGGGTTTGCTGTGATGACGAAACTTGTAATGGCGGATTGGTGGTACTTGCGACCAGACAAGCCTGAGAGCTTAACAAACCCCACGAATCCTTTGTACGCTTGGGTTGTTCATTTGATCACTGCTCTCTTGCTTTATGGCTACTTGATTCCAATCTCACTCTATGTTTCCATCGAGTTAGTGAAAGTCTTGCAAGCGACTTTTATTAATCACGACTTGCAGATGTATGATAGTGAGAGCGGGACTCCAGCTGAAGCGCGCACGTCGAATTTAAACGAAGAGCTTGGACAAGTTGATACCATCCTTTCTGATAAAACAGGAACTTTGACATGTAACCAAATGGACTTTCTTAAATGCTCAATAGCGGGTACTTCTTATGGCGTCCGTGCCAGTGAAGTTGAACTAGCTGCTGCAAAGCAAATGGCTATGGATCTGGAGGAGCAAGGTGATGACATTACAAACCTTCCGGTGAGTAAAGGCAGGACACAACGCTACACGAAACTTGCTAGCAAGACGTCATCGGATTTTGAATTGGAGACTGTAATCACTGCTAGTGACGAGATGGATCATAAGAAGACCACTGGTATCAAGGGGTTTAGTTTTGAGGATAAGCGCTTAATGGATGACAACTGGGTAAATGAGCCTAATTCAAATGATGTTTTGATGTTTTTCCGTATATTAGCGGTTTGTCATACTGCTATTCCTGAGGTGGATGAAGATACTGGAAAGTGTACCTATGAAGCTGAGTCTCCTGATGAAGTTGCTTTCCTGGTTGCTTCTAGGGAGTTTGGTTTTGAGTTCACTAAGAGAACTCAGTCAAGTGTGTTTATAGCTGAACGGTTCTCACCTTCAGGACAACCAGTTGATAGGTTGGAACCTAACTTAATCAACTGATGTGATCTCTTTCAATTTCTGTGTAAATGTCTAATCATGTGGTGGTTATGTTACAGAGAATACAAGGTACTAAATCTATTAGACTTCACTAGCAAAAGAAAAAGAATGTCTGCAATTATCCGAGATGAGGAAGGGCAGATTCTTCTACTCTGTAAAGGCGCTGACAGGTTTGGCTGCACAGGGATTATCAGTTCTTCTTCTAAGCAAACTCTCATGATTTATTTTTTCTTAAATTTTTCTTGCAGCATCATATTTGACCGCTTATCAAAGAAAGGAAAAGATTACCTGGGAGCTACTTCTAAGCACTTGAATGAATACGGTGAAGCTGGTCTGCGTACATTAGCACTCGGTTATAGAAAGCTGGATGAAGCCGAGTATGCGGCATGGAACAGTGAATTTCATAAAGCTAAAACTTCAGTCGGTGCTGATAGAGATGAATTGCTGGAGAAGGTATCAGACATGATGGAAAAGGAATTGATCCTTGTTGGAGCTACTGCTGTAGAGGACAAACTGCAAAAAGGGGTATGAAGCATAATAGTTCACTGTGATTATTAATGAAATAGTTTTCTGCTTACTGATAGTAGTTCACATGTCAGGTGCCTCAATGCATAGATAACCTTGCCCAAGCTGGTCTCAAGATTTGGGTTTTGACAGGAGATAAGATGGAGACAGCAATAAACATAGGGTTTGTTCTTCTTTGTTGCTCATACCATAATAGACTGGGGAATCAATTCTTCTTTTAAACTAGAATAAATAATTTGGTTGGGCAAATGCAGATATGCATGCAGTTTACTTCGACAGGGTATGAAGCAGATATCCATTTCATTTACTAATGTAGAGGAATCATCACAACACTCTGAACCTGTATGTATTATGTTCATGCTATTAAAAAAATTACATTACTGTTTCAGTAGAATCATGCATCTGATGTAAAATATGTCGTTAATTTTTTCCAGGCTGTAAGGCAGAACATTTTAATGCAGATCACAAATGCCTCACAGATGATCAAAATAGAAAAAGATCCGCATGCAGCGTTTGCCTTGATCATTGATGGCAAGACACTTACCTATGCTTTGAAGGATGATGTCAAGTATCAGTTTCTTGCACTTGCTGTTGCCTGTGCATCAGTAATATGCTGTCGTGTCTCTCCTAAACAGAAAGCACTTGTATGAAAACTCCATCAGTTCTTAAAACCTCTTTTCTCATTGATTGGTATCCTTTGCAATATAATGCATCCATCTTGAATATTTTTTTCAGGTAACAAGGCTAGCTAAAGAAGGAACAGGGAAGACAACTTTAGCGATCGGTGATGGTGCAAATGATGTTGGGATGATTCAAGAAGCTCATATTGGTGTCGGCATCAGTGGTGTTGAAGGCATGCAGGTGCTTAAACTTTCTTCAACACAATATGACATAAGCTTGTTAGGTTGGAGAAGTCATTTCTGTTTTTTTTTTTTTTTTTCTTATGCAGGCTGTAATGGCAAGTGACTTCTCCATAGCCCAGTTTCGGTTTCTGGAGAGACTACTTGTTGTCCACGGACATTGGTGCTACAAAAGAATAGCCCAAATGGTAATATATGTGTTTCAAATAGTTAGATATATCACCAGACAACAACATATGTATGTCTGATCTTCATTGGTAACTGTTGTTGTCACAGATCTGTTATTTCTTCTACAAGAACATTGCGTTTGGCCTAACTCTCTTCTATTTCGAAGCCTTCACTGGGTTTTCTGGTCAATCAATCTTCAACGACTCCTACTTATTACTCTTCAACGTTGTTCTCACATCTCTCCCCGTTATTTCTCTCGGAGTTTTCGAACAAGATGTTCCTTCTGATGTCTGCTTAGAGGTTATAGTCTCTCCGTCATCTTCAACAAACCTTTTTAAACTTCATATCTTGATTCGTTTCTTTGCCTTTTTTCTTCTAGTTTCCTGCATTGTACCAACAAGGCCCCAAGAACCTATTCTTCGACTGGTACAGAATCCTCGGATGGATGGGCAATGGAGTTTACGCATCCATAGTCATCTTCACACTCAACCTCGGAATCTTCCATGTCCAATCATTCCGCTCTGATGGCCAAACCGCAGACATGAACGCCATGGGAACCGCCATGTTCACTTGCATCATTTGGGCAGTAAATGTTCAAATCGCTCTAACCATGAGCCACTTCACATGGATCCAACACGTACTGATATGGGGAAGCATAGGAGCTTGGTACATCTTCCTCGCCCTCTACGGCATGTTACCACCAAAACTCTCTGGTAACATCTTCCACATGCTCTTGGAGATTCTAGCGCCTGCACCTATCTTCTGGCTCACCTCACTCTTGGTCATAGCTGCCACAACACTCCCTTACTTGTTTCACATCTCGTACCAAAGATCAGTGTACCCTCTTGACCATCACATTATACAAGAGATTAAGCATTTCAGGATCGATTTGGAGGACGAGAGAATGTGGAAACGAGAGAAGTCAAAGGCTAGAGAGAAGACAAAGATTGGGTTCACGGCTCGAGTGGATGCTAAGATAAGACAGCTAAGAGTGAAGCTTCAGAGGAAACATTCGGTGTTAAGTGTCATAAGTGGGACTTCGTCTAATGATACAGCTTCAAACATGATTTGATGCCAAGTAAGTTTTTTTAACTCATTGTTTTCTATGAGCTGGATTCAAGATGGATGAAAATGTATAAAAGAAATTATATTCTCACTTATTCAAATCGTTTATCTAATTAGAGAAAATAGAAAAGACTTGTATTGTTTTGTTGTATCTGTACACTAATACTAATGAAAAAGAGAGATGTGAATAATGATTTAGAATAGTAGTATGGCAAATAGTGAGCCATCATTTCTTATTGTTTGTGTGTACTTTGTATTTTAAAGGACCCAATTAATGTAGTTAATAACTAATGTATGTATGTGTATATACCAGTAAATACTTAAATCGACACGAAAACTTTGAGCATGAAACAAGAAAAATAAATAAGTATTGCATGAGATTAAGAAGAAACATGGTCAGATGAGACAAATATGTTCGAAAGAGGTGGTGCATACTAGAAAACGAGAAAGAGGTATCGATGATTAAGAGAGACAGAAAGATGGGTCAAAAATCAAATAAGAAGCTTGCAAAACAAGTAACCTTTTTCTTCTTAGGCGAACAACGGTGGCTTTCCTTCTTCTTCTTCTTCAAAGCAGATCGGCGACGTTTGATGGAAGCTCCTCAACAACCACATTGTAGAATTTCTGAATATCAAAAAGCATTCTCTCATCATCACGAGTCACGAAGTTAATGGCCACACCTTTCCTCCCAAACCTTCCACTTCTTCCGATACGGTGAAGGTAATTCTCCGGCTGAGTTGGGAGGTCAAAGTTGATGACAAGAGAGACTTGCTGCACATCGATACCACGAGCCAAGAGATCAGTTGTGATGAGAACACGGGAAGAACCAGACCTGAACTCTCTCATGATGATGTCTCTCGTGTTTTGGTCCATGTCTCCATGAGTGGCAGAGACAGTGTGGTCACGGCTCCTCATTTTGTCAGTGAGCCAGTCCACCTTGCGACGAGTGTTGACGAAGATGACACTCTGAGTGATGGCTAATGTCTCGTACAGGTCACAGAGTGTTTCGAGCTTCCACTCTTCTTTCTCCACGTTCACGTAGAACTGCTTGATACCTTCAAGCGTGAGCTCATCACGTTTCACCAGGATTCTCACTGGNGGTCACGGCTCCTCATTTTGTCAGTGAGCCAGTCCACCTTGCGACGAGTGTTGACGAAGATGACACTCTGAGTGATGGCTAATGTCTCGTACAGGTCACAGAGTGTTTCGAGCTTCCACTCTTCTTTCTCCACGTTCACGTAGAACTGCTTGATACCTTCAAGCGTGAGCTCATCACGTTTCACCAGGATTCTCACTGGCTTGCTCATGAACTTCCTTGTGATCTCGAGAGCTTCTGGTGGCATTGTAGCTGAGAACACTCCGACCTGGATCTTCGGTGGGAGAAGCTGGAATATGTCATAGATCTGATCCTTGAAACCACGGGAGAGCATTTCATCAGCTTCATCAAGGACAAACATCTTGATGGAGTCAGAGCGAAGGGATTGTCTTCGGAGCATGTCAAAGACACGTCCAGGAGTTCCAACGACAACGTGAACACCAGCCTGGAGAATACGCTGATCCTCACGAACACTGGTTCCACCAACACAGGCATGGACCTTGACGCCAAGGTAATCTCCGAGAGCACGCATGACCTTCTCAATCTGCTGAGCAAGCTCCCTGGTTGGAGCCAAGACGAGAGCTTGGCACTGGACAAGGGAGAAGTCAAGCTGCTGCAAGACACCAGAGCAGAAAGTAGCGGTTTTGCCAGTACCAGACTGAGCCTGCTGGATCACATCAAGACCCTTGCAAAAGGGTACGATTCCTCTTTGCTGAATAGCAGAAGGCTTTTCAAAACCTAAGAAAAAAAACAACAACAAATCTTTTAGGGAATCGCAGAAAGAAAAAAGATGTGACTATGATGATTCATGACATACCATAGGCATAGATACCCCTAAGAAGGTTCTCTTGCAAACCCATAGCATCAAAGCTCTCATGGACCTCATCATAGGAGGTGAAGAACTCATCCTGTCCCTCGAGGCTGTGCACCAAAATAGAAATAAAAATTAGCAGAATATCATTATTAAAAAGTAAAGATGTTAAAAGACATACACTTCATTGAGCCTTTGGTCAAACTGACGAGTATCAAACTGTGTGCCTTCTGGTGCCGATCCTGCCATGACTGCAACAGACACATACACACATAAAGACAAGAATTAAGATATGAAAGACAGCTTCTATTATGTATAAAACACTATCAAATCAAGCATTAATGTCTGAATATATATATATATATATATATATATATATATATATATGTTCATGTCTGGAGAGAAACAAAGCTCATCCAGTATTATATAGATAGCATCCAAAATATATACATCTCCTCTCCATAAAAGCAAAGCTTTAAGATAGTGTGAGGAGACATTAACATCGAAAGTTAGGTACTTTTAGGGTTTCAACCACTAATTAATTCATGTTACGATGACAACAGAGTTACACAGATCAAATTGAAAACTATAGAATTGACACCCAAATCAAATCGCAAAGACATTAAAATTAGAGAAGGAGATCCAAATCTCAACAATCGCAAATAATAAGAGTCCGAACCTTAAGGTTGAGTAGAAGGATAGAGAGATGAAAACAAAAGTGAAAGACTTTCTAGAGAGAGAGAGCTTGAAATCTTCCAAGCTCGGATCTGAAGCGATTCGTAATAAAAGAGATAAACCAAGAAAGAGCGATAGATGAATGTAGAGAGAGTGATTGAAAACGTGTTAGCCAATCACTTCCTTTTATTTATCTGAAAGGGTCTTAGGGTTTCCTCTTATTACCAGTTGTTCTTCTTTTTCTTTTTACGAATTTCCAGTTTTACCCCATATTTTCCTCTTTCTCACTTATCCACCTCTCTTATGATTTCCTGAGCCTTACAAATTAATTAAACTAATTTATATAAATATATTAATTACTTAAAATATATTTTAAATTAGTATACTCGTTATATATTTTAAAATAGTACAAAAATTGCAACAAAATTTTAAGAAATTATAAATATATAAACTAAATACATAAAATTTTAATAAGCGTATTTAGAGAAGATAACATAAACCAAATATATTTATCATATCATTTATAAATAAATTCATCTAAGTTGTTACATAATATGAAAAATAAAAATATTAATCCTACTTTAATTTTTAGTAGATTTTATGTTTGTTCTAAATGTGAATAGAATAATTTTTTTTGACATAGAATATCTAAATGTGAATAAAAAATATATATATTTACACATTTTTAATAGAAAATTTTGATTTTACATTTTACCCTCACAATGCTGATCTCTACCTTTTTCACTTTCACACTAATAAAAAAAGTAAATATTTTATAATTTATTTATAATATATCACAATGTATAATCTAGTGTAGCATGATCTATATTTAGTTTACCTATTATCTGTATATCCATTCATAATTTTAATGTACAACATTAATTTACATACATATTTGTAAATATTGTATAATTTATTTATTATGCAATTAAAAAGATGAACGAAAAATATTCAAAACCAACTCCATAATAAATGAAGGAAAATTGCTAAAACTAGCACATTGATAATACACTATTTCACTTTTACATTAATCATTTTTACACTTAAAATTTTGATAGTCAAAAGACGATAATATTCTTAATTAATTAAACTTAACAATTTTAATAAGGTTTTGATGGATTAGGGTTTAAAATTTATGGTTAAGGGTTAAGAATTTAGGATTTAGGGTTAAGAATTTAGGGTTTAGAATTTCGGGTTTAGGGTTTAGAATTTAGGGTTTAGGGTTTATAATTTAGGGTTTGGAGTTTAGGGTATATAATTTAGGGTTTAGGGTTTATAATTTTAGGGTTTAGGGTTTAGAATTTAGGGTTTAGGGTTTAGAATTTAAGGTTTGGGGTTTAGAATATAGGGTTTAGGGTTTATAGTTTAGGGTTTAGAATTGATATTTTAGTGTTTAGGGTTGATGTTTAGGGTTTAGGTTTTAGGGTTTAGGTTTGAATTTCGAAATAATATAATTCAAAAAAAAATATTTTTTGTTTTTTGTGTTTTTTATTTATTTAAATATTTATTTTATATATATAAAAAACAAGGGTATAAAAGTCTTTTATCCTTTAATGAAAAATGTATTTTTGAAAATATCCCCCCTCTTAAGGTAAATGTGAATTAGTGTATCTAAAAATGTGTATTTATGCAATTCTCCCAATGAAGGGCATTTACGTTGATGTGTATTTACACATATCTAATACAATAAAGTAAGCTTTTGTATCTCCATAGGGTATTTAATGACATGTGGCAACTTTAGTTTTTAATCTATTCGAAATCTAATTGCTTTTGATTCTGAGTTTATTACATTTCTTATGGGCTCAAACTGAAGCTAAATATCCTTCAACCGTCTTCTTTGTTGTTGGCCAACTCTTCCACTATTCTTGTCCTAAAAATTCCAAATTTATGGTTTTTTTATCCTCATCTTCACTTTATATCATTCTCAATCTAAGTCTCTGTTCCAGTTTTCTTTTTGAAGGTGGTTTGATTTCTTACCAAACTGAAGCTAACAGTAATGGGGATTTCCAAATTATACATTTCCGACTTGAAGACTGGTTGTTTTAAGGATGTGGTGGTGACACGCAGAGGCGGACCCACAGAGGAAAATGGGGTGCCACCTGCAACCCATTAAATCTGTGTAAATATTAATTTGTTCAGTAAGAATCTGTACTTCTGCTGGTATATTGTTCTTTCTGACCCCCTAAACCGCGGTTCAAATCTACCTAGTGACACTTTTATTCATTTTTTTTTAGATATTTAGTTTGACCCAGGTAAAATAAATTCTTGGATCCGCCACTGGTGACACATCTTCTTCGATTCTAGAAGTAATGTACTCTGAAGAAAGGAGGCAAGCTGATTGGGGGTGGACATAGTATTGGTTGACTAGAATGTACTGAAAATCTAATTTTTTTTATAAGAACTTGGATTTAACGAATATTTGAATTAGTCAGCCTAAAATGCCACAATTTTCATTTGCAGACGATGTTGATACAAGGTACCATCACTGCACATCGGCTCTACACATTTAAAAATCTACTGAGTGAATATGTTGTCTACGATCTTAGTGTTTTCTATGTTGCTAGAAGCAGTAACCACGTCAGACTGTGTGCCTCCCCTATCTTTTTTGATTTAACGCGCAACCAGACAACCAGCTTTATCAAGGTTGTCGACCCGGAGGTTAATATCCCTGCGTAAAAATCAAGGCTTTCAAGTCTGAGCAGCCAATGGCTCTCTCTCTCTAAACACCAACGTAGGTTTGCCCGATATGTATTTAATTTTCATCTTTCAATTATCCATTTCTATTATACTACATCGGTTTAGGATGTATATTACAGTTATGTACATTTCAGATATTTTTGGTCAGGATAGGAGTATAAACACCATCTACAATGACAAAAACGAGTTGATACTGCGTGTTATTATGGTCACTCTCCAGCTGGACAAGTACTTAGCCCCTACTCAAGCACCATTAAGTTTTATGTTTTAAAAGTTTTATTTAACGTGATAGATGTTTCTTACTGATAAACTCCATCAACGTCTGCATGTCAACCACTGTGTCAATGTGTTTGATAAGGTTGCATGAAAAGTTAGTCCTCTTGAAGTGGAGACAAAGGTTACGACTTCACGACAGTTACAGCATTAGTCCTCTTATGTCAATTTTTCATATGTCATTTACAATAACATCAATGCATCAGTTTTCGTGCTCTCTTAATCTGTCTGCGCATGTCGCTTATTCCTTGATGCCACATTAGGGACACACTTTTACTTTTATCATATGAAAGCCAATCCACTCAATGTTTCTTAAAATAGTCAATTATTTTTTCCTATAGTTAGTTACTAATTCACGATTGTTACAGCGTTAGTTCCCACATTAAACATACCAAATGCAGGCTCGTAGGAAATATAATGGTTCCTCTGGTATATCTTCCATATATGGTGGTGTTAAGAAATTTGAATATGTCACACTCTTTGAACTTAATAGCTACGTTCTGAATTCACCCCACAGGTATGTTCACTGAATAAGGATGATTGCATTTAGCTCAGAGCTCATGTGTACTTTCATAACATGACCATTTACATGTTTTGTTATTTTACGTTGTCCCTCCTTTTCATATTGTGTACAGTTAACTTATCAAAACGTCCCTTACTTGAAAATAAGAGATTTTTTGTTTCGTTCATTCTGCGTTTGATCATTTATCTAAGTTTCATATTTAAAAAATTATTTCAGTAACTGTGAAGTTTTTGATATAGCACCATGATACATGTTCAAATTACCCTATGGAGCAATTTACTCTCTCAGATAAGAGATCTGTTGCAGTATTTGAGGATCAAATAAATAAGGAGCTATGTAACCTATTAAATCCAATCAAACAATAAAACTAGGTGAATATAAATAGTAAATCGCAGTAAGCAAGTAAACAGTAAAGAGAAAATATTCTAACTGAGCAAGACAATTACTCGACAAGAATGGAATGAGGGTTTTGAACTTAAATGGAAAGGTGTTAAACTTATGATTTTTATTCAGGTGTTGAAGATTATAAACCTATAGCTATCTACTTGTTTTCATGGTATTAAAGAGCATTAACTATCTTAACAACAGTTTTACTAAACTTTCATTTAATAAATAAGCTTATTGACTAGAATGTTGTTGACCAAGACAAGAATGTCCGATCAATGATAGTGTCGATCGATTATTCTATAGGAATATCGATTGATTCACTTTACTCGACGTCGATCGATTTCCAATGGGAATATCGATCAATGCGGCTAGTTAAGCGTTACACGCGAGTTAACAAACACTCACTATGGATCCCTAGATCAAACTTTTGCTCTATCTCTAGTAAAATCCTGGCTTAGTCAGGATGTATTCAAGACTATCAGAGTTATTCAAGGATGTTTAAACAACCTAACAATCCTAGATTCAAGTTTCTAGTTAGCAAGTCTAGAACATAAGCATTAAGAACATCCTATTAATGAATACCACAACAAGCGATCCTATAGTTAGGGCTAATCCCACTAACTTATTTAAACCCTAATTCTAACAAGTTAATTACTCAGACATGGCTAAGCAATTCATAACACAAGCAAAGTAA